TTAATGGATTCTATACATTATTTTTGGCCTTTTGTAGACTCTTAATGAATTTTCACGATTTTGATTGATTATTTCGCACATAATAAAGTTAGAAAACAAAAATTATACTGTAATGTCATATTTCTCCTCTTTAAGTGGTCTTGATAAGAGTCCTAAACTTCCCTCCTCACATCCAACAAAAAAAAAATTTTGATAATTATATTAGGGAGTTGTAAACTTTCGCCTTCCCATCCAAAAAAAAAAAAAAAAAAAGACTTTTGATAATGTATATTAGGGGCGTAAGCGGGTTGGGTACCTCGCTAATGCAACCTTTCTTTCCATTTGTTTCAATTAGATCTTTTTTATGTTTATCTTTAAAATCAAAATCCATTCCTTAAGCTATTAAGTACTTGCCAAAAATCCATCCAAAAAAGTCTTCCTTTTTTTTTTTTTTTTTTTTTTTTAATCTTTTCTTACCATTTGTTTCACCCATAAGCTATTAAGTTATTGTGTGCTGTCAATAAAAGGATTATCAGGTCAGGACTTGTATCAATTTACAGCGCAATTGGCAAACAAATCCGTTGTCGTCCAGCGGTTAGGATATCTGGCTTTCACCCAGGAGACCCGGGTTCGATTCCCGGCAACGGAAAATCAATTTTTCATTTTTCCCGGACTGAGTTACCTCAAACAACTACAGAAAAAGCCCTGCCATCGCTTGCTGCTGTTCCCAGATTCTGCTTCCCCGTGCTCAGATTGCCTTTCAACGCTTTTAATTGCACAATTAACTATTATCTGGTACATTTTTATGCGATGAAAAACCTGTTCTTTTCCTTTCTGTTTAAATTCATTTATTTTACTCAATCAGCCTCTCTTACTGCTATTCTTGTTTCTTGATTCTCCAATTTTAATATCTATGTGTGTGTTATCTAATGAGTAAAGTTTGAGCTTCAAGAGAAAAAGGTTCTGTTACGGGGGATTGGGATGGCTTTTTTTTTTTAATGGATTTTTGGCCTTGTTGAGAAATGCACAAGTTCTTATCAATTTGATTAATAGAATCAAATTTGGAACGTCTTTAGATTGAATGGCTGAAATGCATAAGAGTGACATAATAACTTACTGGTTATGCAGGCTGAGATTTTTGAAGGTGAATTTGCATTTTGCTGCAATACAAATGCAGATAATTCAAGTGGACAGTGTTTTGGCAAAAAAAGTAATAATAAAAAAAGTTGGGAGCTTTTGTACAGCCTCACCAAGTATATAAAAGAAATTTCAGTTAGTTTATAAAGTACAAATCTTGTTGGTTAACTACAAAGAATAAAAGGGGTTGGATGAACTTGAAACTGGATCTACTGTTAGCTCTTCACAGGATGGAGATTTGGTTGTACACGTTGGAATGTTTATTCATTAGGTGGCGGCGGAGGCTTTTTTCCGTCTTTTGCCCTTCAGTGCCTTGGTTCTTAGATTTATTATGATATTCCTGCATTCTTGATTGTACTGTGCTTGCTCAGCAGAAAATGATATTGCAGATAGCTTCATTTTGAGCTGAGCTTTATAAGTAACCACTATGATTTGATCAATCATTTATTAGACTAGAAAAAGTTCTAGCCTTTTAGTAACCTTATGCTTTCGTAGTTTGGGATTGGTTTCGAATGAATGCAATGCGTTTAAGATTTGCGGATATAGATTTTAAGGCTAGTTGACTTTGTCAACAGAATTAATCAGACATTTTTTGTGTTGACATGGGATGTGACCATGATAATGTTACATTCCAGCTAAGTTGCATTAATCATCGTTGTTCTAGTGCATAGATCATGCTAGAAATGCTAATGAAATATTAGTCCGTTTGCAAAGTGCAAATTGATATCTTAATCCTCAAGTAAACGATCCTTGTCTCCTGCATTTGCTCAAATTGTCTAATATAATGTGTGAATGCAGAGGAAAGCTTTCAATGGAGAGCTCTGATGATGGAAAGAATGGTCCTCTGGATGCCAAGGAGCATTCTCTAACATCTGATGGCAAAAAATCCATAGACGAAGTTCTTAATGGTCCAAATGGCCTTTGCTCGTAGAACTTGCACATGGATAGGCACATGTTTTATGTATTGTGTGACATGTTACAAGCCAGAGGCCTCTTATGTCACACAATTAGAATAAAGATTGAGGAGCAGGCAGTGATTGATCATGTTTATAGTTGGGCACAGGATATGTACTCGAGCAGTTCAAGAGCTATTTGGATACTCAGGCGAAACCATTAGCTGCCATTTCAACAATGTTCTAACGACAATTATGGCAATTTCACGGGATGTTTTTCCACCTCCTAGGCCTGATGTTCCACCAGAATTTGTGAAGATCCTCAATTTATCCTCATTTTCAGGTAACCTGAAAATAATACTCTGATTTTTTGTAGTCTTTCTTATTTGTCCTTGAAGTATTTTTTGTCTTAAAAGTTACTGTTTATCAAGTAGAATTGTGTGGGAGCAGTTGACAGTATATATTTGCCTGTGCAGTAGGATTGGATGAGCAAGTTCCTTTCTGGAACAAGAGCGGTTTTCTTTCACAAAATGTACGGGCTGTATGCTCCTTCAGTATGAAATTTCACTATGTTCTAGCTGGTTGGGAAGGTTCAGCACCTGATATACAAGTTTTAGGTTCTGCTGTCACAAAAGGTAACATATTGCAAGTCCCCGATGGTACATCATCTTTATAGGAACTGAAACTGAGCTAGCGGAAACGGTTTCACGCACACTGAATTACCATTTGGTGAGAACGTTCTGGATGACTCAGTATTCTCCCTTGAGTTCTTCACTTCTGAGTTTTTTATCACCTTCAATCTTAACAACAGCATGTTAAAAGTCCCATCTAATGTTTGTCTTTCAAAACTTCGTTCCTTGTATATCTCTGCTGTTGAGTTGAAGAATGATGCCTTTATAACCTCTAATAGCCGACAAGGAATCATCTTTAACTTGCCTGTCCTTGAAGAGCTTCGGTTTAATTATTGTACATGATGGAATTTGATGATACTTCCAAAAGATGCTCCTTTACTCAAAAGATTCGAAATGATTGGCCCCCCTTATAGATCTGGAAATGGTGCAATGTATGAAGGCGTTAAAGTAGAGATTTGTGGAGGCAACCTTGCTGATGTTAAATGTTCAGTTTTTTTCTTTGAGGAGTGTTTTCTCCAACCGATTGACTCTTGTTAATGCTTGTTTCAAGTATGATGCTTCTATTATGCATTATGATGATCATTGGAGGAGAAAGATGGTGTTGTGAGCTTGTGCACTTTTAGGTGGATTCTCTATCACGGGATGCCTTGAGCTATCTGGTGACTTCCTCGTGGTACACAAGTTTCTTTCTACAAGTTAATATTGTTAATAGTAGTAATTTTGCATTTACAACTGTTGTTTGTACACTTAGATAATGTCTGCTTATTTTTTTTATCCCCTCATTTCCTGCTTCAGTCTTGTTATGTTTTGGTTATGATTTGTTTTGCTATTGTTCAAGACTTTGCTCTTCTTGCTTTTCCTTTATTCATTCGTCGTTTTGTCTGTTGCTACTGTCAATGTGTTAATTTGCTAGCTAGTAATTACAAAATTTGCTTACTGAAGAAGTTGTTCAATTGTATATATGACCTCAATGTACTCAGCTACTATAAGAAACTAAGGAAGGAAACAGCTAATCTTCTTGGCCAGTATGTATTGGTAGCCCATTAATTTAAGACACGGTATTGAGCAGGTATGAAGGTGAAAACCCGATATTTCTCTTTGATTGAGTGCACCCGGGACTTGATATTTAGTTGTTGATGGAAACTAAGCGTTGTAATCTAGAATAAAAGGTACATAACCATCAAGTTTGAAGTAACTTGGGATGCGTATGCAGTCAATAACAATAGGTTGATGGAGAGATTTTTCATGGCTTGTAATAACTTGAATTGTCTTGGCAATTTTGGTTGTCTTCCTGCGCTGAATTCTGAATTATCTTGCTGAACATTGGCACATTGCCCTCTTATTGAATCCATCAATTCTTCCCAAGTTGCTGTCCTAGGCGGAACCATTAGGTCCTCTTCCAGTCTTTGATAAGCTTAACTGCCTCAAAGTGTCAGCAGTGAGCGGTGCCAAGTGTGACAAGCCATTGGTGAACTTGCTCAAAAGGGCACCATAGCTGGAATCTCTGATCATTTCTTCGGTAAGTATTGAAGTTATTTCTGATCCCCCTAAATTCACCAAAGGCTTTAGAAATCAGTCTATATTTACTCCCTCCCATCTTTCTTTGTGCCAGTGCCTCATCGTTCTTGTTCTCGTCTCCTCCCCTTCTCTCTTTTGACTGCACTGCATACTGGGCCATCATTTCTAATATAGTACTTGTCTTTGATATGTCCTTCTAGTTCCTGATTTGTAGCGGCCATCCGGGGTTGGCGGTGACAATGAGGGAATTGATTTTGAGCCAGCAAATTTTATGATTCACCTTAAGGTCATCAAGTTTGATAACAAGTTTCAGAGGCAAGGAAGTTCAGATTCAGTCAGTGAAGTTTTTGCTCGAACATGGCTCAGTACTTGGAAAAGCCTGTGTTATGTCTGTTTTCTGTTCATTTGTATAACCATGCATATATGTTTGCAATCAAATTGAAATTATTATTTCAAAATTAAAAGTTAGATACAAAGAAATTGAAACTAGCATGCGAAATCTTGTTGATCAACAGTAAATAGGGTGGATTATTAAACTTATACTTGTTTCTGGTATTTTCCTGTAGCTTTGTTCTGTGCTGTATAATGAATTATATCATACATGATTGGCAGCCCGGTTCAAGATCATAGGAGAAGGAATAGCGCATGAAAAGGTTTGGGAAATTGAGATTAAAAATTCGGTGTGGACATGTTTCAATTTTAGTTTCCTTCCCCACTTAGAAGTGATCAGTCCCCAACCCATATGAATATAACTTCTGCCCAGGTCATTGTTCTGGTTTTTTCTTGTACAAAGGTTGTGCTGCATCTTAAAGAGAGACTAAAATGTTAAAATTATTCCAAAATGAAACTGAAGAAAAACTCTGATCATACTTCAAGAGCATGTGAGCACCAAGAATCAGATCCCTACTCCACTATTTTTCCGGATAAGAATGTCAAACATCCTTGTTTGGCTTATGGTTTTCTGTAGAAAATTTTTTTACGTTTTTTGTAAAAACATTTTTAATCACTTTTTTTTAAAATTTTATATACATCAAATCGCTACAGTATATAGTTTTTTTAAGGGTTAAATGCAGAAAACACCCACGAACTTTCATGGAAGTTGCACAAAACACCCTGAAATATGTTTATAGGCATTTTGCACCCCGAGAAAACGACCGTTCACACATTTCACGGTGAAACAAAACGCGTGGAAGCCACTTTCTGTCCGTTGAATTTGCTGACAGAATTGCCCTCTTTCCAGTGAATATAAATGAGAACCACCTACCATCACTTCTCATTTTCCCTCCTTGTATTTCCTCTTCTTCACATATGCACAATTCTTCTTCTACTCACATGGAACACAGTCCAAATAGTTGCAGCTCAAGCAATGCATATGAAGCAACAAACTTCAACTATTAAATAAAGTGATCTAATCCTTCAATATGGGTTGGAGTCCAATGCCACCCCAGTCATCAATTCTTTGTGGTTTCTTTGAATCTTTCCGGCTATGGCATTTCTGGCCAATTGGGACCTGAAATTTCTCGTTTATATCACTTGACCGTACTTGACTTGAGCTTCAACGCCTTTTCTAGTTCAATTCCTTCCCAACTAGGAAACTCCACTCGTCTGCAGCACTTGGATCTCTCTTCCAACAACTTCACTGGACGACTACCTCTCGGCCTTGGCAACTTGTACCGTCTTTCCTACTTAAGCCTGTACGACAATTCTCTGACTGGTACCCTACCCCGCTCCTTGTTTTCCATCCCAGCCCTTCACACCGTGTACCTCAACACCAATCGACTGACCGGCACCATCCCATCCAATGTTGGAAACGCCAGCGAGCTTGTGTGTCTGTGGCTCTACGGAAATCAGTTGTCAGGGACCATTCCGCCCTCCATAGCAAACTGCACTTCCTTGCAAGAACTCTATTTAGGTGACAACCAGTTGGTTGGATCATTACCGGACGCTCTCGACAGTCTTGAGCACCTGGTTTATTTCGATGTAAGCAGCAACATGCTCAAGGGCAACGTTCCTTTCGTTTCCGGGAGCTGCAAAGAGATGGACACATTTGTTTTCTCTTTCAACAACTTCACGGGAAGCATTCCACCAGCTTTGGGAAATTGCAGCAGCCTAACACAATTTGCTGCTGTCAGTTGTGCCTTAACCGACCCAATTCCTCCCTCTTTTGCCCAACCAGGAAACCTGATGAATCTTTATCTCTCGAACAACAGGCTGTCAGGAGAAATTCCACAGGAGCTGGGACGGTGCGCGTCCTTGGTTGATCTGCGGATAGAGGAAAACCAACTAGTAGGCCAAATTCCAGTTGAGCTAGAAAAGCTCAGCCAGCTGCAGAGCCTGTTTCTCTTTACCAACCATTTGACTGGCGAAATCCCTCTTGGTATATGGAAGATTCAAAGCCACGAATTAAAAAATCAAAACCAACCCAATAAATTAGCTAACAACCAAATGCAAGACCCAAAAAAAAAAAATCACAGAGAAAAATGAACAAATTTCTGAGCTACTTGAAATACCAAAAAAATAAAAGCCTGAAACAATAAAGGAAAAAGCATAGCAAAACTCAATAGTCAAAATCTCACCTTCGGAAAGCAACAACGAAGAAAAAAATGTAAAAATAAAAACTCACCCATGAATGCTAGACGTCGGAACAAACCCAGTGGCAATCATTAAACAACACAACTTGAACTCTACTACTGATTGAAAGCAGCGGTGAACAAAAGGGAAAAAGTTGCAAGTTTCACCGTTTACCGCCGACCACTGCTCTCGATCATTAATTTATCACGGCGAGGAGAACATAAAACCAACTAGTAAAAAACAACAATGAACTGCCAGCAGAATGAGGCATAAAACTACAAGTTTGGGCATCCAGATCCACACAAAAAGGGTAAAAAGTCGATTAAATAAAGAAAAAATTAGGGCTTTGCATGTTACCTGATTTGCTGAGATACTCTAAATATTTCACTTGTTTAGATTCTTCAAACCGTCTTTTGCCCACTTCTAGTTACCCTCTGCAGTCATTCGGCTTTGGTTCTTCCTCAATCGCAAGAAAAAGGCAAAAAATTTTGGCAAACTCAAGATTCAGTTTTGCCTTGTATTTTCCGCCCGACATAATGGGTTTGGAGGAGAAGAAGGGTGCTTTTGTCTGTTCGGTTATTATTTGAGGATAAAGTTGTCATTTGGGTCATAAAATAAACGGTGTGTAAATATCCGTTATTTTCCGTTATTTTTCAATGAAGTTTGGGTGTAAAGTGCCTATAAACATATTTAAGGGTGTATTGTGCAACTCATACGAGAGTTCAGGAGGTTTTCTGCATTTAACCCTTTTTTTAATAAAAACTTATAAGAATAGCAATCCAAACGCCTGATATCATAAATGTATTCTGTACGCGATCGTTTTGATTGGACATGCAACAAATAGAACTGTTGGTCTAAAAATAACTGAAGTCTGAAGATATACAGACAGAAATCAGCCATGTTGCATCTTAGTTAACATATTTTCATCAGTAGACAAGCAAAATGTAGGAGCTTCAGAATAAACAGTGAGCAGATGTTTCTGAAGCTTTCACGCCAACTACAATGCCCCAAGTTGCACCGAGGCTCACAGAAAACAAAATTTGCATATGTTGTCCTGTCCAATGCTGGAATAATCGTGTCAGTAGATGCCATCCACAAAAAAAAAATGCGCACCATGAGAAGATCAAAAGAGTAAGGATTGTGTGCATCTGATCCTGCAGAACCCAGAGATCAGAAGCTAACCAGTTTCACATTCTTCTTTGCCTTTTCAGAGTTGAGTAACTGGTCATGGCTTCCAGTTTGCTCTGAGAACTACTGCCACTACTAGTCCTCGGAATCGATGGTTTAGCTTAACTCGACACTTTCACTACACTTGCAAAAGTTTTTTTTTTTTTTTTTTAATCTCAATCTGAACTATTTATCCATGAGAGGCAAAGAGAGAATATGAGAAAAAGACCAAAATCTTTAAAATCTTTTAAAATTTGGATTGAAGTCTATTGCTTAGAAATCTAGTTGCAGTCACAAATCATAGGAGTCTTTTTAATGCTCACAATTTCAAAATAAAAAAAATAAGTGTTTTTCCCTCTGTTTTTCTTTGTCAGTTTTTGAAGTTGGTTTTTTTTCTTAGAAGACAAGATAAAGGCTCCGTTTGAATTAGTTGTTTTGGAAGTATTTTTGACTATAGCAAAGTTTTTATAGTATATTTTGGGATATTTAAGAGTAGAAGAATTTTTAGAAAATATTTTGGAATATTTAAAAGTAGAAGAGTTTTTAGAAAATATTTTGGAATATTTTTTAAATATTAAAAAAAATTTAAATTACTTTTTAGGGTACTTTTTAAAAATTTTAATAATTTTTAAAAAATTAATTTTTAAAAAACTCTTGAATCCAAACAAAGCAAAAGTATTTCAAAATTTTTTAGAACAATTAATAAAACGAAAGATATTTAGTGAAAAATAATCCATGTTCCCCTACTAAAATGGAAAACAAAGGATCCAAAAGGTCCTAGAAACTGAGAACCTTTTTTTTTCGTTTCTTTTGCAACTATTTACCGGCTAAGCTGTACGGAACTACTATAAATTTCTCAGCTCCACCCTCTCCCACCACCCTTGGCTCCCCCGCCACCGCTTCTCCGGTCTCCCCTTGCCCTCTCGTTCAATCCCAGAAGCCCAAAAAGCTAGGTCTCAAGTGCTTTTTTTTTTTTTTTTGAACAACAGGTTGCAAAAGGATGTCAAATCATCTCCCAGAGGAAGTGTGGGCTGGCATCTTCACAAGACTCCCAGTCAAGACCCTCCTCCAAATCAGGTCTGTTTGCAAACTTTTCAGTTCCATTATTTCCAACCCTACATTCATTTCAGCTCACATCAAGAAAACTATCAATGAATCCCACTCTCACACCCTTTTCCTGAGATACTTGATTGAGAAAGAAAGGCAGCAAGAACATTACTTGCTATTTACTGACAGTAGTGATCATAAAAATTCTATCTTTGATGAGCACAATTGCAGGAAATTAGACTTCCCATTTAAAACTCGATCAAAATGTCACTTTAGGATTGTGGATTCTTGCAATGGTCTAATATGCTTGAATGATGACAATGATTTTGATACTTCTGGGATTATTCTCTGGAACCCTTCAATTAAAAGATTCCTGAATTTGCCGAACCCCCGGGTTACTAGTAGGAGTTATGGTTCTTATATGTATGTTCTTGGATTTGGATATGATGAAAAGAATGATGATTATAAGGTGGTTAGAGTGGCTTATAAAAAGGGGCGAAGTGGGCGAGATCTGATACCTCCTGAGGTTGAGTTGTATAGCTTGAATTCACGGTCGTGGAGGAGTTTTAATGCTGGTGCTCCTCCTTATGGGATATTTGGGTATACTTGGTTGCAGGCATTTGTGAATGGAGCTGTGCATTGGGTTGGTTATGATCCGTGTGTGGTGAAAGGGAATGAGAGTTGTGGGCTGATTGTGGCGTTTGATTTGAGTGATGAGGTGTTTCGGGAGGTTATGCTTCCTAGTTGTCTGGAGCAGCATGCATGGGATGTGTATATTACGGTTTTTTGGGGTAAGCTTGCAGTGTTACATTATGACTATGGTGCCCATAAGAACTTTTGCTCTGTGTGGGTAATGGAAGAGTATGGATTGGCTGATTCTTGGAAAAAACTATATACTGTTGACCTAAGGGGAGGATTGCGGAATTTGATTGGTTTTCTGAGAAATGATGAAGTCATTGGAGTAACCATTCGGGGTAAGCTGCTTTCATATGACCTCATTACCTCAAGGATTAATAACCTTAGACTTCACGGTGCAGTAGGTGGGTTTCATGTGGGCAGTTATATGGAGAGTTTGGTTTTGCTTGAAGCTGAAAGTGCAGCTTTAGCACGAGAATCAATTACCTCTGGAAATGAACAAGAAGAAGAACAGGCTACTGACTTGCATGCAGTCAAGAACAGGCAAGATTATGCTTATCGTTAAAATATTTGGGTTCTCAGACACATTGGTGATTGAAATTTTGCTTTCTCACTTGCATTGGTAGTTTCTGGACTGCATTGGTTTCTCACTTACATTGGTAGTTTCTATACTGCATCACTCTCTGTGAGTGCATTTTGGGGACTTGAGGAATTTGAACTTCATGTTGTAACTCTTCCATGTTGAGGCTTACTGTCTGTTATCTTTAATTAAGTCAGGATAGGGCATTCCTTTTATGCTTTTATGTAAGTACCATTAGAACAATGTTAATATTTCAATGGAAGCTATGTATCTTTTGCCTTAAGAAGGCCATTGTTCTATTTATGTTAGAAAAAAGCCTAATTAATGGTGATGGACCATGGTCTGTATTTCCTTCCATAACTGATTTTTATTTGCTTTCTTTAGTTCTTCAGAGCTACCAGTTTGGAATGTGGCATTCTAATGTTAGTCCTTTCTTGATACAGGAATGATGAGTTTGATGATCAGGAAAAACTTGAAAGTTTTCTTTCTCTTAGAATATCTGAACAGAATTATTCAGCATATTTATGCTGTGGCTTTAGCGAGCAAGAATTATCTGCAAAGAATTCTGAAGAATGGGTGAAGGAATTGGTTCCTGAGGCTAACTGTGATGGATGGGAGAATGATTGGTGAAGAATGGTGGAACAATGTTGGAAGTGCAATATTTTTGTTTTATTTTATTTTGATATCAAAGAGACAGGGTTATGAATAACTGCTTCAAAATGGGGCTCTGAAAAACAAATCGACAAACACTTCTAAATGTTCTCACAGAAGATCTCATAATTGGTTGTTGGGTTCATGCTAAACCTAGGCAGTTTGCCTTTGATTGCTGGTTGCCGATTGCCTGTAAATTTGGCGATGGTAGCAGGTAAGTTAGTATCTTTAACCTTCAGGTTTCTTATAAACATAATCTGCTTTGTTTGATCAGCCAAACGACTTCATGGTTTTACTTTCTCATGATTTAATTTTAACCAGTATCTCTTTCCATCAGACCCTGTACTTGCTTTTCACTTATCTTGATATGAGACTCCAGACCTATTAAATTGATTGTGAAAACATTTATCGACTCCATTGAGCGGGTCCTATCATTGTCTCTTTTTACTTATCTCTCCATTTGGAGACATCCTGTTGAACTTGTTTTGATTCAGTTTTACTCTGCTTCTCTTCTCTTCAACCCTCAGAAAACACTTAACAAGGAGGGAAACGTAATGGTTTCTTTTCTTTTCTGTTCTTTATTACCCACATGTTTCCTACCAAACTAGCCCTTAATGCAAAACAAACAAGAAGAGATGACCAGAACATGGACATAGATTAATGTTGAACATCACCTTAAGTATGAAAACATTACCATAGATGACACGATATTATGCCATATATGCTGTGTACAAAAAAATGCTGCCAGACAACCTCCAAACTTGAAAATGAGTATTCCAAATAGTAAACAAGGACGTGCAGAGAATCCTGAATAGCTTGGTATACTGTATTTAATTGCTTTTGAATTGATACTTTCAGAGCTAGTTAAATATACTTTGTTAGAAAGCTGGAAGCTGAATGTTGAGAATCTGAATTGTCACAGGTTATCCAAAAATGCATGTGGTAAAATTATAATATCTGCTTAACCCCCTTTAGTTTTGCACAAATATCCACTTTACCTTCCTATGGTTATGTTCATATAGGAAGGTTTTGTACATATATCCACGTAATGCCACTATAATTTTATACGAAGTAGTGAGACCTTTGTTCTATTTAGTACTTGAGTAAGAGTAATCCTGGAATTTCAACTACTGACGGAACGGAGGCTGCTTTTCATCAATTTCCGATTTACATAAAATTACAGTGAGGTTAAGTAGAAATTTTAAAATGTTAGGGGACATATGGTAATGAGTGAAGCCATAAGGGGTTACTAGTAATTTATCCTTGATTTAGAACATAATACTTATTAGGGTTATGCATATAAACTGATATCTAAAGGGTTAAAATTAGTATATGGAGCCTTTGGAAGTAGCATTGTAGGCGTAGGCATCATTCTACCCAATAAAAGGGAGAAACTTTGGGTAATGAAGGCAAAAATAGTCTTTTCAAATGTGTTGATAACAGACACAGTGGAACTAGCAACGGTTGGGGTAAGACTGAATTGGCACAGAGCTCTTACACTTTGACGTATATGGAATTTGAAAGTACTGAGACAGTTGTACCAGTGCCAGGGATCATTAGCAGGAAGAAGGATTTATCAGCTTTGGTCCATCTGGTGCAACACGTTAACCCTATCATGGTTGATCACAGAGTTTGAGTATCAGAAACAGAAATCAGCCTGCAAACATACCATCTAGAGCAGGTTTTATATCTCAATATTAATAAATCTTTGTTGACTGATATTTTTCCTGCTGTATCTCATGACACATTGGCACAATTGGTCAACAATATACCTTCTTCAGTACAAGTTGCACGTGCCTTGTTTAACGGAGAATAGGGTTCAGCTTGTAAAAATGTGATGTGGGGACTAATAACAACCTCTAACATCAAGAATAATCGTGAGTCATGAGAAATGGTCTTTTTCTTTTTTAAGACCAGGAAGTATTAGATGGTTTGCTATTTGGAAGCAAGTGGTCTTTCACATACAAAATAGTTCTTTTAAAAACTAATACAGAAAAGTATTCGCATCGATGAAGTTTACATTGTCATTTGTCAATGACTCAATAATAGATTCTGGAGAATGGTGATGCAGAATTACCTAACCACAAGTAACAGGTAAAGGTATCACTGTTCAGAGTACTCCCACAATGTCTCACTCATGTACAGTTATTGAAACACGGATACACAGACAAATATAAAGATCAATGAAGGATCACCACTGGAATCATATTCTTGATCCTTACATCCATTGAAGAAGAAGAAATGATAGATTACTTTTTGTTACAATTGGCATAAGGATTGATAATGAAGTATGGATTGGGAAAAAAAGATAGAGCAATTGCATATCGTTACTCATAAAAATCAATCAAGTATGGATTGACAAGTTCTTCATGCTATAATTTGTGTAGAATCAAGTGAGCACCATGCTGAGGTTGAATTGTAACTATGGTGTAAGGAGCATGAGTATAAGATGGAGAAAGTTCAAAGGAGAAGTGCTGGAGAATCATTGCCATAGCCAATTTTGCTTCAATCATAGCAAAGGTTTGTCCAATACATATTCGAGGTCCCCAACCGAAGGGGAAGAATGAAGCTTGGCCTTTTGTCGCATTTGATACTCCTTCACTAAATCTGTCTGGATTGAACTTTTCTGAATCGTCACCCCATATTTTGACATCATAATGCAGTAAGAGTATTGGCAACATGAGCCGCACCCCAGATGGGAAAGTATATTTTCCTACTTTAGTTTCCCCTTGAACTGTTCGATCAATTACAGGCAGTGGAGTGTATAGTCTTAAAACTTCGTTCAAGATCATTGTCACCTGCAATAAAGATTATAAGGGAAACCATATGTCATCATAAACTATGCAGAAAGGAAGATTACTGAAATTTACTATGTAGTGATGGTCTAAAGCATAAGAGAGGTGTGTTACTATAAAAGACTGAAAAATGTATATAGAACAGAATAAGCTGAATGTTAATGTTCTTTTCTGCAATCAAGAGTTTCATTTGAAGACACGCACTCTTCTAAGTTCTAACAGGTAGGTAACTTCAAACAGATCAAGCCAATGGTAACATATGGAAGGAACTCACAACTTTGAGGTGATTAAGGCCATTGAAATTTGGCTCATCTCTCCCAAAAACTTGCAAAACCTCTTCCCTAGCTCGGGATTGCCACTCCTGATGCCTGCTCAGTAAAACCAATGTCCATACGAGCAATGATGAGGTTGTCTCCTGCCCGGCAAAATAGAATAGTTTGCACTCTTCAATGACATCATTGATGCTCAAACCAAAACTTTTATCCCCCTTTTGTTCAATCTCTTTAAGATTAGACTCCAATAGTATGCTCAGTAAGTCGTTATCACTTGATTCCCCTGCTTTCATTGCTTCTAATCTTTCATCAATAACTTCTCTTACTGCAGCTCCAACTTTTTTATGAAGTTCCTTTATCCTTCTGTTCCTCTCAGTTGGCAAAAACCTATAGATAAGAAGCGAAACTGACTGAATCAACTTAGAAATCAGGAATGTCAAAATTTTCAATCTGGAATGATACTCAAACTCCCGCAAGTAGTGTGCTTTTCATGTCCATACAACGTGAAGATGCATTGAGAAATCTAGCTTTACCTTGATCCTGGAAAATAGAATGATTTTACAGCTGTCATAACCTGCTCTGCCTGTTCTTTTTGAAGCTTAAAGATCTTTCTTCCTTCCTCATAATTACCACCAAATGCTGTACGAGAAATTGCATCGCTGGTTAAAGTCTGCAGGTGTGGCCAAACATCCAATTCACAGGTTCCTTCTGGTGAAACACTTTCCTCCCATTTGCTCAACATTTCGGTGGCACATAAATGAAAAGCTGGTAGCATCAGCTATTCATAGGAATGAATGATAAGCCTAGTTAGTGCTAGATTTCAAAAAGAAATAATTTCTCAGGTTAATAGTTGTTGGTTTACGATGTCAGCATTGGATATCTACTTTACAGATGAAATTTGATTTACATTCTTCTTGCGGATAAAATTGCATCAGGAAATAAGAGAAGTATATTGTAAATTGTAGGAGGTCATTCAATATTTAAGCATAAGATCAGTTATTGAAAATATAAGATCATCTCCAATGAATTAACACAGATGACTTTGCAGTTGATAAAGAAATGTTAAGTAAAACCTTGAGCTTCTCTAGATGGAAAGCAGGATTGATTATCTTTCGATGTTTTGCCCATTTCTTGCCTTCAGATGCTACTAGACCTTGTATCAGATATTTGCCAAGCGGGTGAAAGTGAGGCTTCTGGAAGAGATTATAGTTCACCATGATCTCCCTTATAGATTCAGAATCTAGGATGATGACTGCAGGATATGGGCCAAGCCATATGAAGGAATTGCTACCTGCAATCGACATGCTAAGCAAATTAAACCAACGAAGACGACACAGAAAATATATCCACCAGCAGAATTTCTAAAAACAGGAAACCAACGACATAGTGTCGTGAAAAAAATGCAATGCATAGTGTCTGAAAAAAATGCAATCATTTATGATCTTACATCACAATATCAAGAAGTCTCTGCAATAAGAATTCAATAGATTATACCATATTTCTTGATGGTTTTGGTGACCATCGGTATAACTCGGGGTACGAGATCATCAGAAAGATTGATTGGCTTGGAATAAGCTTCTTCAATCATCGAAACCATTTCTTTAAAATCTCCATAGACTGGTGTGTATGAATTCCCGGAAAGACCCTGTGCTCTAAGGCACTTCTCTAGCTTTTTGGGCCTCAACCATAAAGAGTTCAGGCCCCTCCATGCACAAACTGTAAGGGCAATTAAACATGGTGAAATTGCTAGCATAAAATTCTCCATAATTTTACAGTTGTTTCATGGCTGGTTAGAGTCTGAGAGATGACCCTTAAAATTGTACTAGCATTCAAGGTTGTCATGTGAAGAGGGGATTAATCTAGCTTTTCAGTATTTGAGCGTGCACGGTCCGGTTAGCCACATTATCATTGTGAATATTCAATCTTGCCGCTATCATCTTTGGAGTTAGTATTGATTTAGAATTCAACAGTCTGATTGAGATTATGTTGGAATATATATTGGGTATAGACTGGATCCAATGTCCCATCAATCAAGAATCTGGGCAAGTTTGCAATCTTTATATTTCGTCATCTAGGCTAATAAATCTGTAATGGAATAGGGGCAAGAACGGTTGCAGGTAGTTCACGGCTAAGATTTGGCCAAAAAAAATTATATGGTCCAGATTTCATCTTGTATCTCGATTTTAACAATATGTGTGGGATGCACAAAATTTTGTTCTAAAATTACACGTTGTTGAAAGTAAGTTACACCATGTGCAAACAAAGTTATGCCTGTGGAAAATGCACATAACTGCCAACTGCAACCGTTCCTACCCTAGTCCATCTATAATTTACTAGGTCTTCCGTCAATTCCGATTCTTGATAGAATTGTCAATTTAATGCATGCTAAAGTATCGGGCAAAACACACATTGATTCTCTATGGTTTAGCGGTTTTTTACATAATCATTCTATAATTTCAAAAATAAGACATAACCCCCTCACATTTTAGACCAAAGTGTCAAAGTGATAAAATTTACATTCCATAACTGCGCCAACTTAAATGTCAAATGTATCCCTATGTAAAGTTGGAAATTATTTATTAATTATAGCAGATTCTGTTTGTATTTGAAAAACCATAAGGGGTTCTGTGGTGAAGTCCTAAATCATAAGGGAATTATATGGTAAAATACAAAATCATAAGCAGTTAATGTATTATGCATATTATGTTTAAATATTTCGGTTACTTTAGACATTTTAATTTTTAAATAAGAATAATCTCGATGTTTTTGTAGGTTCCGTAATAAAGGATCATTTTCGTCACTTGACACTTTAATTCAAACAATGAGAGAGTTATGCATACTTTTTGAAACCGGAAAGAAATTATGTGAAAAATCGCTAGATCATAAGAGTGTAAAGTGTATTTTACCCTAAAGGATTTCAATATTCTTATCATTATTTTTTAAATACGTAGAATAAAGCTGTACGAAATGTCCTACATCGAAATATAAATATAAACTCTGGCCCATTGGATTACTAATAACTTTACATTAATCATTTTGCGCCCATGATTTTGCTCAAAAAGTTATTGAGCCAAAAAAAAAACATATATGAGATAGACGCAAAATTTTCTTTTTTTTTTTTTTCCTTTTTCTCTTCCAAACTAAATATTACGTATAACTTCAGCATCAATTTACAATATATTGCAACTGCAAAAGTATCACTTTGTGCCTTCTTGCACACATAAAACAGAAATCTTTTTTTTTTTTTTCTCTCCAAACCAAAGTAGTCATAAGGTTGGACTGCCTAGCAGCAAGGAATGGATAACAAAATCACATTTCTCACTCAAAAATAGAGCAAAGCAGAACCAAGGAAAAGCAAATGGAAACTACTTCAGCTGACTATAATTTGTGCAATACCAAAAGAGCACCATGCTGAGGTTGAAGTGTAAATACTGTGTAAGGAGCATGAACATAGGATGGTGAAAGTTGAAAAGAGAAGTGTTGTAGAATCATTGACAGCGCCAATTTTGCTTCTAACATAGCAAAATTTTGTCCGAGACATATTCTAGGCCCCCAGCCAAAAGGGAAAAATGGAGCTTGGCTTTGGCCTTTTGCTGCCTTTGACACTCCTTCACTAAATCTTTCTGGCTTGAATTCCTTTACATCATCTCCCCATATTTCGCGGTCATGATGCAGCAAGATCACTGGTAACCACAGCATCACCCCGGCTGGCAAAGACAATTTTCCCACTTTAGTTTCTTGGTGGACTCTTCTATTCAGTGCAACTGCTGGAGGATATAGCCTTAGAACTTCATTCAAGATCATAGTCACCTGCAAGAATCTCGTGTGAGCTGTATGCAGTTGGTTTATAGGTAACTGCGACAGAACAAATTATATTTTTTAATACTTTTTCAAGTGTTCAATTTCTGTCGGAGCTAATATGAGGAAGACACTTACTATTTTCAGGTGATTAAGCCCTTCAAAGTGTGGTTTGTTTCTCCCAAAGACTTGCGAAACCTCGTCTCTAGCTTTCGACTGCCATTCTCGGTGTCTACCTAGCAACACCAATGTCCATACAAGCAAAGTAGAAGAGCTCTCTTGTCCAGCAAAATAGAAGAGTTTGCACTCATCAATCACATCTTGCATGGTCATACCAAAGCTCTTGTCTCCATGTTGATCAATTTCTTTAAAATTGGATTCTAGCATAATGCCTAACAAGTCATCGTTACTGGTTTCCCCTGCTTTTAATGCCTTTACCCTTTTGTTAATGATATCTCTGATTTTAGCTTGAATTTTTTTTTCAATGTCCTTCATTCTTTTGTTCCTTCTAGTTGGCAAAAACCTGAAGACAACAATCAGAAATCAAGAAACTCAGTAACTCAGACATAGGAAATCAAATATGTGAGTTAAAAACTTATCCATTGTGTAGCTTTATCTTATCAAGCTTTTCTGAGTCATGAAAATGAAAGTGTATCCTAGAATACTATGCTTGCTGAGTTTATACTTTCATAGAAACTTGGCAGAAAAAGATTAACTTTAACTTTACCTCAATCCTGGGAAATATACTGATCGCGTGGCCCTGACAGCATACTGTGCCTGTTCCATTTGGAGTTCAAATATCCTTCTCCCTTCTTCGTAATTGCTACCAAATGCTGTACGAGAAATCGAATCAGCACCTAAAGTTTGAAGGTACGGCCAAACATCCAATTCGCATGATCCTTCTGGTGAAACTCTTTCCTCCCATTTACTCAACATCTCGCTGGCACTTGAGTAAAATGCTGGCAGCATATGCTATTCATAGCCATGGTGAAAACAAAATTTATTAGCACTTCTAATATACCTTAAGAATGATTCAGATTGTAGCTTAATTATTTGCCATCACTAGATTGAAAAATTTCAAACTGAAGTTCTTTAAGGTGGAGAAAATAGAATTCAAATTTGTAAACGATACCTTCAGCTTCTGTAAATGGAAAGCAGAACTTATGATTTTTCGGTCTTTGGCCCATTTATCACCCTCCGAGAAAATGACACCTTGTGCCAACAATTTGACAATTGGATGAGGACGAGGCTTCTTAAAGATATAGTTCTTCAGCAAGATTTCCCTCATATTTACAGGGTCTAGGATGACCACTGAGGGATTCAGCCCCAACCATACAAAGGAATTCCTACCTGCATTTGGATTCTAAACTGATAAGTTCACTTTTAAACAGAAATACTTGTGTATACGGAAAGGAGAAAGTTTAGACAGTTTCAATCTTCATATGCGTACAGTAGTATGTGGTAAAAGGAAAATCAGCTATCAATATATATATGGCTATCATTGCAGAAACAGTACAGTTTAGACGTGAACTTTGCTAATCAGTTGCTTAGGAAAACTAATCGGATGAAATGAGTGACCAGGGATCAACACCATACCGTATTTCTTGATGATTTCAATGAAGAAAGGTATGACTCGTGGCACGATGTCATCAGAAAGGTTGATAGGCTTGGAGTTAGCTTCTTTCAGCATCACTGCAATGTCTTTGAAGTCTCCACACACTAGTCTATAAGAATTTCCATTAAGGCCTAGGTTTCTTAGGCGCTTCTCTAGCTTTTTGGGCCTCAGCCACATGCAGTTCAGCACTCTCCATGCAAAAACTGCAAGTGCAACAGCACAGGAAACTCCTATGGAATAATACATACGTTCATATGATTTCATCCCCATTTCCTAATGATCTCTCAACCTTTATAGCTCCATATACGAACATATTGAAATGAGGGATCCATTATTATAATCATTAAAAAAATCCTTTTAGGCAGTGAAAGAGGGAATCTAGATCATAACTGAACATGGATGATGGAGCAGAAGTGACCTTTTATTGTTAATTTATCTCTTGATGTTGGCCTCATGGTGTACAGTGAAGATTTTGTTGATGATTAGACAATAATTGACGGCCAACTAGCCAGCAGCTTCATGCGTAACAACGACAGGAGAAGCCCATGCTTCCACTCCCTCGTTTTTTCATATTTTGATGCAGATATTGCAATCTCTTGCCTTACTTTATTTGCATGCCTTGATATTAGAGAAGCAATGAGGTTTAAGCAGTTTGATGAGGACAAAGACATCCTCAATGATTTCTGCCAATACCAAATCAGTGGATTGATCTGGAATCCATTGATGATGATAGCACCTTTTGTTTTTAGTATGATATGGATAGGTATAATGTCATAGTAGAATTTTTCATAACCACCCTCAAGCACCCATCATGTAACTAGCATCTTTAACGTATGAAAAAGTTAGAATTGTTTTCTATTAACTTTTTTCAGTTTTTTTTGCTATTTAAAACAGGATAAATTACCTTTTATTCTTTTGTGATTTGATACTTTACCACATAACCCTCTATAATTTAAAACCTATACATAACCCCTTCCCTAATTTGGGTTCATTATTAGCTTAAAAGTAATGGTCAATATTGAAAGGTCAAAGTCAAACTAATAAATAGACAAATTCACGCTTTTACTATATATATTGTTCTTTTTTCCTCTCCTTTCTCTTTTTCTTTTTCCTTTGAGAAGAGAAGAGATGATTTTAAAAAACTATACTTTGGCTTACTAAATCTTAATAAATCTAAAAATTTCTCAAATACAAAAAAGAAGAAAGGGAAATAAAAATAGATAAACAAGAAATAGATAATACTATTAAAAGATTTGGTTTAAAAACTTACATTGATATTTACAATCATTAAAGATTTCATATTTTGTAATTCTTATTATGTATTTTTATTTTCCTTTCTTCTTTTTTTTTTGGTATTTGAAAAAAAAAAGGTAATCAAAGGGTGAATTTGTTAATTTATTAGTTTGATTTTGAATTTTTTAATATTGACCATTAGTTTTAAAGGGAAAATTAACCTTGACACTTTAATTCAAAATATAAGAGATTTATGTACACGTTTTTAACCCTTGAGGAGTTATGTGACAAATCACTAAACCATAAGAGGGTAAAAGGTAATCTAACCTTAAAATATTAAGAAAACAGCACAACCGGTAATAAAACAAAA